ATGTGGAATATAAACCAACACATGGACAGAGAAAACAGTATTGTGGTTACCAGGGGGAATGGGGGTAGGGGGTGGGCACAAGGGGTGAAGGGAGACATATATATGGTGACGGACAAACAAAAATGTACAACCCAAAATTTCACAATGTTATAAACTATTAAAACATCAATTAAAAAAATCCACTAAAACACTATTAGAACAAATAAATAAGTTAATATACAAAATTCAATTTATACATTTGCAATGAACAATCCAAAAATGAAATTAAGAACACAATTACATTTATAATACCATCAAAAAGAATAAAATAAGCAGGAATAAATGTAACACAAGAAGTGCAAAATGTATATACTGAAAACTACAAAACATACATGAAAGAAATTAAAGACCTAAATAAATGGCAAAACATCCCATGTTCATGGATCAGGAGACTTAATAACATGAAGAGGCAACACTTCCTAAAGTGAACTATAAATTCAACTCAATCCCTTTCAGAATCCAAGCTGACCTCTCTGTAGAAATTTACAAGCTGATTCTAAAATTGATATGGAATTGCAAGGGACCCAGAATGGTCAAAACAATCTTGACAGGAACAAAGTAGGAGGACTCACACTTTCAAACCTTACTTTCAAAGCAATGGTAATCAAGATAGTGTGTTACTGGCATAAGTACTGACATATAGATCAATGGAATAGAACTCAGAGTCAAGAAGTAAATTTATGTCTCTATAGTCAACTTATTTTCAACAAGGGTGCCAACACCATTCAATGTGGAAAGAATAGTCTTTTCAAGAAATATTGCTAGGACAACTGGACAGCCACAGCAAAAGACTGAAGTTGGACCTTTACCTCACACCATACATAAAAATTAACTCAAAATGTATGAAAGACATAAATGTAAGAGCTAAAACTATAGAATTCTTTGAAGGAAACATAGGAGTACATCTTCATGAACTTGGATTTGGCAATGGTTTCTTAGATATGACACTAAAAGCACAAGTAACGAAAGAAAAAACTGATAAACTGGAGTTCGTCAAAATGAAAAACTTTCGTGCATCTAAAGATACTATTAAGAAAGTGAAAGACAACCCACAGAATGAGAGCAAATATTTGCAAACCATATATCCAATAAGAGCCTGCTATGCAGAAAACGCTAAAAAAAAAAAAAAAACCCTCTTGCAAGTCAGTAACAAAAAGACAACTAACCCAATTCAAAAATGAGCAAAGGACCTGAATAAACATTTTTCCGAAGAAGATATACAAATGGCCAACAAGCATATGAAAAGATGCTCAACATTATTAGTCATTAGAGAAATACAAATCAAAATCACAATCAGATACCACTTCACAGCCACTAGGATGTCAACAAATTTTTTAAAAAATGTAAAACAGGGGCCGGCCCACCAGAGTAGTGGTTAAGTTCACGTGCTCTGCTTCGGCGGCCCGAGGTTCGCGGGTTCGAATCCTGGGTGTGGACCTACGCACCACTCATGAAGCCAGGCTGTGGCAGGCGTCCACATATAAAACAGAGGAAGACGGGCACAGATGTTAGCTCAGGGGCAATCTTCCTTACCAAAAAAAAAGTAAAACAAGTGTTGGTAAAGATGTGGAGAAATTGGAACTCTTGTACACTGCTTGTGGGAATGTAAAATAGTGTAGCCAGTGTAGAAAACAGTTTGGTGGTTCCTCAGTAAGTTAAACATAGAATTACCATATGACCCAATAATTCCATTCCTAGGTATATATCCAAAAGAATTGAAAATAGATGTTTAAATAAATAAAAACTGGTATACAAATATTCATAGTAGTACTATTCACAATAGCCAAAAGGTGAAAACAACCTAAGTTATCTATGAATGAAGGAATGAATGGATAATGAAAATGTGGGTATTATCTATACAATGGAATATTATTAGGACATAAAAAGGAATAAAGTACTGACACATGCTACACATGGACGAACCTTGAAAATACGCTACACGAAAGAAGCCAGTCACAAAAGACCAAATATTATATGAACCCATTTATATGAAAGGTCCAGAATAGGTCAATCCATAGAAACAGCAAGCAGATTAGTGACTGCTTAGGGGTAGAAGAGGTGAAAGGGGGATAGGAAGGCGATAGCTAAAGGGTACAGGGTTTCTTTGGTGGTGATTAAAATGTTTGAACATTGACTGTGGAGACAGTTGCACAACTCTGTGAATATATAGAAAACCATTGAATTGTACACTTTAAATGGGTGAATTGCATGGTATGTGAATTATATCTCAACAAAGCTGTTTAAAAAAAATTTTTAATTTATGCTACAATTGCAACAACAAAGATCATATTTATGTGGAAAAGCACACGAAGAAAGTACAAACAAAATGAATATATTAGGGTTGTAGGTCTGGGTAGTATGTTTTCTTTTATTGTTAAAATGTTTATACAATATGTTTAAATGAATGTTTTAAAAATTATGGTATAGAAATGTTTAGTAACTCACCTTTATAAATAAGAGGTTTATCTTTATCTTCTGTCTTCTCTCTACTAGCCAAATCAAGAAAATCTTCAATCAAGTCCAGAGATATGAGAGACTGGCTGAAAACAAGGCTAAAAAAACAGATTAGTGTTCATGGATTAGAAGATTCACAAAGTAGAGATATCATTTCTTCCCAAATTGATCTACAAATACAACACGATTCAAATCAGAACCCCACTAGGATTTTTAATAGAAAATAACAAGCTGATTCTAAAGTTTATATGGGAATGCCAAGCATACAGAGTAGCCACAACAATTTTGAAAGACAAGAATTTGGAGGCCTAACTCTACATGATTACAATACTTACAAAGCTAGAGTAATCAAAACAGTGTAATACTGATGAAGTGACAAGCACAAATCAATGGAACAGAATATAGAGTTCAGACACAGAGCCACACAATATAGTTAATTGGTTTCTGACAAAGAAGCAAAGGCAATTCAATGGGAAAAGGATAGTCTTTTCAAAAATGGTCTTGGAAAATTTGACACCCATATGCAAAAAAATGAACTTCGGCCTAAAACTCATTGAAGTATGAGTACAAAAATTAACTCAAAATGGATCATAAATCTAAATGTAAAATGTAAAACTACAGAACGTTTAGAACACAAAGAAGAAAATCTTCATAACTGGGGGTTAGACAAACAATTCTTAGACATGACACCAAAAGTATGATCTATGAAAATAAAAATTGATAAATTGGACTTCATCAAAATTCAAAAATTTTACTCTGCGAAAGACACTATATAGAGAATATGAGAAAAAATCTTCCTACTAAAAGTATTCAAGTAATCTTAGACTGTACACATTCTAAAACACTCTGTCATCCCATTTCAAATATGTTTGCAAATTCCTGATTCTCTCTCCCAGTAATTTTCTAACTCCTTTTTCAGCCATGAAAGCTATTTGTTCACATAAAGTCTTATGTCGTGTTAAAATAAATAATAAAAGCAAGGTGCTTTTGGCCTTGGAGGAAAAGGAAAAACGTCACTGGCTCCTAACCCTCTGCTCTAGGTCACCAACTTGCAAGGGCTCTGAGAAACAGTTTGAAAACCACTACTCTGACCTATCCCATTGGTGAAAAGTGGACATAATTATACACTGGAAATGAAAAAAATCTAGAAAGAGAATATCGGAGGGCTCATTCTCTCCCTTATATATGCAAAGTAGGTCAGTATACAAGGAACTAGACACTTATGGCAAGCATATTTTTTATTTTGTTTTGTTTTGATTGTGAAAGCTATACTGTAGGAGAGAGATGTGCTAATGACTTCAGAAGATCCTTCAACACTCACTGCTTGATGTCTTCAGATTTAGTAGAACTAAAAAGAATAACTCAAGCTATGAGTTAACGACATATGCATTGACTATTGTATGGCTTCTTGAGCTCTGCACTGTGGCAGTCTACTGTCTCCTAGTTGGTACTCCTAGAATACTGGTAAGGAAATGAATTGATTCCGGGTGCTCAGCGTAAATCACCAAGGGCTATGCCTTAATCTCTCAGTAAATTGATTATCTTTCCCAGAATCAAACACTTTACTGAATCAATTTTTTTCTAAGACACAAATTAAGTTTTTGATGGTTCCTGTAACTAAGAAACAAATTCTTAAAAATACTAATTATTTAATTGAATTAATTTGGAATTTGGACTACTATTCTGGAAAAAAGTTGACTTGAGTCAGTTAGCATTAAGTCTGGTTCTGAGAACCACTGAACTCAGATAAGTCTCACTATGAAAAAGGTAGTGTTACTAGGACTAAGTGGCTTTATACTAATGGTTATCTCTGTTAACCTTTTCTAGTTGCAGATACCATGAAGAACTATTGTCGTGACTGGTAATAATTCTCATACCTGTATAAACTATTTTGGCTTTACCTATTTTATAAATGACCCATGTGAAAATATAAAAGCAATACTTATCAAATTCACACATATCAAAAATCTGGAAATAAAGATTCAATCAAAATTTAATATTTAAATGATAGAAAACAAATAAGTCAGAAGGGCTGAGCTGAAACCAGTGGTGTACTGAAGTTGACTATAACTAGCTTGAAAGTGGGTCCTTAGCATCTCTTCCCACCTCTGACATCACGTTGGCAGCTTGAAACTGGCCATGGTGGGAGTATTTATACTATGGAAATCAGCAAATGTTACAAATCAGGACTTTTCTCTCTTGCTTCTTTGCTTTCCCTATTTTTATTTATTTATTTATTTTTTGGAGAGTCGGTTGTTAAACATTTATCAGCACACCACTGGCTAAAATCACTAAAATTCATTTATTTCTCACTCTGTGTTTTCATTCAGGTCAAAAGATTACCTGCACAAATAGAAAACAGGGAAATCTGATTTGACAGCAGCTCTTTAAAAAAAAAATGAGTCTTTAGTTGACCAGAAATTCAACATGAACCAACAGTGTTATTTAGATGTTGGAAAACCTCTCTATTGGATTGCATGAATGGAAGTATAGGGTCCAGAATAAACAAGAACCAGACTCACTATAACTCTGTGTTAATAAGAACTCAGCTGAAGTGTTTTGTTTACTGTGACCATATTTTGAAGCAGGGGCTAAAAAACTGAAGTATATTCAAGACCACATGGTCAGGGCTGAAACTGTGCCATACAAAGAATAGATCAAAGAACTCAGAAGAAAGAGCTAAAAGTGACAAGAGAGATAAAACCCACCATTACTTGAATAGGAAACAATTGAAACAGTAGTAGTGACATCTTCAGCCTACTTTGAAAGGCATCAGGGAAATAAGATGGATGGAGGGATGGAAAGATAAAGTGACATGTAATAAAGAAAGCAGAATAAAATATAGACTATAGTATAGATTCTAGGTGACAGGTATATGGGTATTCACTGCAAAATTCTTTCTGCTTTTTGTTAGGTTTGAAAATTTCCATAATCAAATGTTGGACAAGTAAAGAACAGTGGTGATCACAATTCTGGAAATGCATAGTTTTATAGTCTTAACATTGATAATATCTATCAGTTGGGCTTATAACTAAAAATGATCATAGTAAGAGTATTAAAAAAAAAAGCAGCAGATATGTTCTATTTTCAACCAGAGGAGAAACAGCTATAGGGATAGAGTATAAACTAAAGATAAGCACATGTTTTCTAGTGATTTGAAGTATTCAACTATAGGTAGCCTTCCGAGATGGCAAATATTCCACCATAGGAAAGGCTAGGAGAACATCTATGATGAACATGGTAGAAGAGATTCTTGTACTGGTTAGGAAATTAAAAGACCACTAAAATCCCTTTCATACTCTTAAAATTCTTGTATGGTACCCAAATAAAAATTAATGTTAAATTACAGAAGTTGATAGCAGAAAAAACCATGAGCATGTCTAGAGCAATAATCTCTCCTGACCTTTCAGGTACTCTGAACTCAAATATCCACTTTCTACCTGACATCTCTCATGGATATCTAATAGGCCTCTCAAACTTAACATAGCCAGAGCAGGACTCTTTAATATCTCTAATAAACTTAGTTATCCCCTAATCTTCTCCATTTTAGTAAATAATACTATAATCCATCAGCCACTTAGGCTGGAAGCCTGGGATTCATCTCAGGCTACTCTCTTCTTCATAATGCCCTGCATTTAATCTACCAAGTCCTGTTGTTTCTACTCCAAAACAACACCCTTTATTTCCACTACTACCACTCTATTCCAAGCCAACATCATTCCTTATCTGAACCACTTGTTTCTGTATAAATAAAGTGGCAATATACAACAAAAATTACTTTTAGTGAGTACTTACTAGGTGCCAGGTACGGTGGTTAATAAAAAAGAATAAAACAGTCTATGTCTTCAAACAACCCACTATCCAGTGAAAAGACATATACGAGTACATTAGAATATGTTAAGAGTAGAGTAGAGGTATATTAAAAAGTGATATGGAAATACAACAGAGGATCTACCTCTTTCCAGGAAAGTTAAAGGAACTAAGTTTGGAACTTCTTTAAGATAAAAGATTGTTTTATTTTAGCCTTATGTTAAATTGTTATTAAAAGCACCACAGATAAATTTTAAAAATATTTTATGATCAGATGTTGGGACCTTATAACAGCATAAACAATAAGCATGGTTCAAAACTTTAAAAGTATGCTTCTCTTTTTTTTTTTTTTTGTGAGGAAGATGAGCCCTGAGCTAACATCCATGCTAATCCTCCTCTTTTTTGCTGAGGAAGACCAGCTCTGAGCTAACATCTATTGCCAATCCTCCTCCTTTTTTCCCCCAAAGCCCCAGTATATAGTTGTATGTCATAGTTGCACATCCTTCTAGTTGCTGTATGTGGGACGTGGCCTCAGCATGGCTGGAGAAGCGGTGCGTTGGTGCACGCACGGGATCCGAACCCGGGCCACCAGTAGCGGAGCACGCGCACTTAACCACTAAGCCATGGGGCCAGCCCAGAAAAGTATGCTTTTTGAATAGTAATTTGATAGATGAGATTGGGGGGGTGGGGATGCAGGGAAGAGAATGGGTGCACAAATGTTAGAAGTAAAACAAACAGGAACAAAAAACAAAGGAGAAATAATAAAGAAAGAATAGTCAAAGAGGTGAAAGAAAATAAAGTCTGAGAGGTGTCCACTAGATTTGGGGATTAAAAGATCACTAAGTGACATTAGAAAGAAAAATCTCAGTAAAGTGACAGTAGAAGCCACACTGCACGGATTCAAAAATGAGTTTAAAGATGGTGAAATACAGATATCAACTAGAGGCTTGGCTCAAGGAAATAAGTTCAAGGTGCAATCGCCAGAAGGGGAAAACAGCACTGAAGAAATAACCAGAATATGCACTCAGAACTAGTGGCTTAGAAGGAAGATAGCTGTCTGTCACTATACTAATCAAAGAAATTACATCCTTAGGAAAGAAGAAAACAAAATAGATTTCTTCCAACTGTTTAAACAATAGAAAGGTTATCAAAAGGTTTATTTATATAATAAAAATAGGAAAGAACTTACACTTTATCCCCAATTTCCTCTGCCATTCGAAGAATTTCAAAGAGAAGTACCATTTTTCCAGAATGCTCTAAAACCTCAGCATCAGCATCTGTAACAAAATCTTTGTACCAGTCTGGAGCTGGGCTGCTTGGATTAGAAGAGGAAGTAGCTTTACCTAAATAAAATAAATGAAACATAAATAAGTAGGTAAATAAGGAAAGAAATTGAAAGACCCCTAGAGAGGGACTAAGAAAGAGACCAAGAGAAAACAGATATAGACCAACCCAAGGAGAGAGTAAAAAAGAAAGAGACTGAGGGAGTTGGGAGAGGTGAACGAAACACACACACACACTCTCTCTCTCTCTCTCTCTCACGCCTAGAGAGAAAAAAAGACCACTCCAGGAGAGCAAGAGCTCTATACTGAGAAAGACACGAGGTGGGGAGTGGGGTAGAGGGAACAAACCCATCTTGGGAGAGGGAGAGAAAGAGACAGAGGGAGTCAGACAGACACACACACACACACGCATGCAGAGGAAGAAAGACATGGGTGAGGGGGCCGCACTAAGTGAGAGAGTCAGCAAGAGACAGACCCTGAGAAAGTGCAAGCATGAGAAACAGAATCCAAAGGGAGGGTACTCAGAAAGACAAAGACCCTAAGACACGGAGCCCCCCAGGCCCTGAGAAAGTATAATCCCCAAAACACACTCCAAGAGACAGGGAACAGGAGAGAAAGAGACCTAGAGACCCAAAGTGAGACAGAGAGAGAGAGGAAGGGAGGAAGGGAGAGAGGGGAGTCTGACTGACTCAGAAATCAAGAGAGAAAAGATCTTAGGGACAGGAAACATTTCACTATGCTATACTAGAATTCTGGAAAACTCAAACAAGGATTGATCCCAGAATCATCATATCATGTTAAATCATTTTGTCCTTATTTTCCCCACAAACTTTGACTATAAGAGGTATTAAGAATAAAGTAACACAAAATAATCTATCCAAATATAATATCTAATCATAAACAGTTTAATTCAAAATAAAGACAGGTTTAACCTGTTTTCCTACCTTCTCTCCACTGATTTTTTTTTTTGTGAGGAAGATCAGCCCTGAGCCAACATCCATGCCAATCCTCTTTTTCCTGAGGAAGACCGGCCCTGTGCTAACATCTATTGCCAATCCTCCTACTTTTTTTTTCCCTTTTTCTCCCCGAAGCCCCAGTAGATAGTTATATGTCATAGTTGCACATCCTTTTAGTTGCTATCAGGCCACCTCAGCATGGCCTGACAAGCTGTGCGTCGGTGCATGCCCGGATCCGAACCCGGGCCACCAGTAGCAGAGCGCGTGCACTTAACCGCTAAGCCATGGGGCCGGCCCCTCCATTGATTTTTAATGCAAAGTATTTTAAATGTTTATATCTTTTTGTCATAAAATATTTCACATATTCAGAAAAGTATATAGAATGTAACGAACAGTCGTGTTCCCATATCCCATCTTCCCCAAATTTTAACACTTGTTAAATCTGCTTCTGATGCAGTTGAAGCCTAATAAGTGACCCTACCCAATCCCATTCTCTTCTTTTCCTCCCTTCTTTCTGAGAGGTAACTAACTCTAAATTCTATATTTACTATTTCTGTGTATGTTTCTATATTTTCACTACATATATATCCCTAAACTGTACATTATCTTTCATGTTTTCAAACTATACGTAAATGGTACCATACGGTTTGTATCATTCTATGACTTACTTTTTCACCCAATGTAGTTTTTCATTTTTCACTCAAAGTGAGACTTACTCAGTAATTCTAATTGCCATGTAGTATTCCACTGCATGAATATACCAACATTTATTTGTTCTCCTGCTCAGAGACATTTAGATTATTTCTAATTTTGTGAAATAACTGCAATGAACACTCAATGTTGTTATATTTTTCTAGAATGTTGTCTACTTCATCTAAGTTATAAATTTTCTGGCTTATAATTTTTAAAATATTACTTTAAACATACTTATTTTAGTCTTTATCAAATAGTTCTATTATCTGAGGTTCTTGAGAATCTAATCATGCTGCTTATGTCATGTGTTAACTTTCGTCAGGTTGACTGCTAACTTATTTTGTTGCTAACTTTTCCTAAGGTTAATTGTCTCCTCAGGTATGCTATAATTCTTAATTGTCATTTCACTTTCAGTGTAGCTGTAATATGTGAGAATCCTGCGTAGCCTAGGTTGATACATCTCCACAGTGATTCTGCATCTGCTTCTGCCAGGTGCTCCAGGGGATCACCAACCCAGATTTACTTTTGAGGTTAGTATTCAGCCTGAGATATTTAGACTACGTAATGTAAACTCAAACCATAAACTATGTGAGGGAAAGCCCAAAATTATGAATTCAAGGAAACAATTTTTCCCACCCCAGAGCCCAGGGTAAAACAGATAAGCTTCCTTGTCATCTCCCTGGAGTGATGGGCAAATTTTTTTCTACCCTATTCTTCACTGGAGCATGTACCCTTTAAAAAGATTCAGCTTTAATCTAGGTTCTAAGAACTCTCCACCTTATTGAGGGTTCAAGGTGTTGTATCCTATTCTTGGGTAGGTGAAAACCAAAGCTGCTAATCTCAAGACTAGCATACCCCTAGGGCTTCCATAGCATACCTTCTTGAATTTATTGTTTAGGTTGTCAGTTTCCTCTTTGTGCCTCGGTCCTGGTGATTTCCACTACTTTCAGAGAGCTCATTATGCATTTATATTCAAACCACAGTGAACTATTGTCTAAACATGTTACACATTTACAAGATTCCATACCTTTCCTCGAATGTCTTATATTTCTTTCTTCCCCTCTTTGCCTGACAAACTTCTATTCATGCTTTACTATATCTTCAAGAGTCAACTAAAATTTCACCTTAGGAAAGCCTCCCTGCAAGGTTGGCCCTTGGCTCTTGTCTGGAAACTTGAATGGTAAACAGTTCCCTGTACCGATATAAAACTTTCCCTGATAAGAGTGGCTCACTGTGCCTAGACTGTGTGTACAAACAGTGTGGTTTATTCTGAACACCTGTTTTCTTTCTGGGAGTCTGAAATTTGGTAAGAGCCAGGTAGACAGTGCCTATGTGACCAGTCCCCCCAAAAAATCCCTGGGCACTCAGTCTCTAATGAACTTCTCCGGTAGACGACATTTCACATATGTTGTCATACTTTTTGCTGGAGAAATTAGCACAAGTGTGACTACACTAGGAGAGGACTCTTGGAAGGTTATGCCTGGTTTTCTCTGGACTTTGCCCCATGTGCCTTTTCCTTTTGCTGATTTTGCTTTGTACCCTTTCATTGTAATAAATCATAGTCCTGAATATGTCTATATGCTGAGTGCTGTGAATCACCAAACATGGAGACGGTCTTGGAGACCCCTGACACATAGTTTATCAAGCAAATGTTGGCTAAAGTCCTTTCTACAATGAGTCAACTGGCAAATAACCTGTGCCTTTGGAAAATTCTGCAGATCCACAGATTACGGACAACTTCAGCAATGGTTACCCAAATTTACTAAAGATAATTTACCTAAGGTGAAAATGTCAGCAATAAAAAAATGCTGGCAGAAAGTTAGTAAAAATGTGGCAGCTAGATAAGAAGTCTCAAAGCTTAGCACAAGTGACAATTTCTGTGCAAATACAATAGATTCCATTCTAATTTTGATCTTACTGGATATAATCACAACACCTTAACAATAATGTCTAAAAAAATAAAAAGTGATTCAGAAAACTATGGGCTACTCCAGTTACTAAATATCCTGAATATGTAATTAAAACTTACAAATAGATATTTCATGCTGAATATTCTTATTTCATCATCCACATGGACTAATCATTACTTCTGTTTTAACTCTGTGTTTTGTATATATACATGATAAATAACAGTGAATCAATCAAAGCCACTCCTTAATATCCACTCTGGATATCATAAAATGCTTACAAGGTAAGGCACAAAGGGAATACAAACAAACAGAAGACAAAATCTTTACTCCTAATTTCTTGAAACATTCTATATATTTAACTATCATATTCGCAAGATACACTGTAGTTTTAAAAAGAAAAGCAGCATATCATTAAAATATTATGTGTATATAGCAGTAGTAGTAGTAGAATGGTAAGCTCCATGAGTACATTTTGTTCACTGATATAATCCAAGCTTCTAGAGCAGTGCCTGGCACATAGTAAGCACTCAATAACTATATGTTGAATGAATAAATGTGGTATATTAGGGCTAATAATATGGTTCTACATCATATACAAGAATGCTATCACAAAAGTTTATACCCATACGATAAATTATATACATTTTAAAATGTAAATGCTTACCAATAAAGCTTATTCTAAAAATACTGAAATAATAATAAATTGAATATTTTGAAGTAGTTTATATAGTCATTTCCTCATCACAAAACTGCTCTTCTAATAAAATACTAAAACGCAGAAATGGGGATGCTGTAAGGAAAACTTAAATGACTTATTCAAGATGCTGCTTCTCAGAAAATTCAGAAAGCTATTACAGAAGAACTAAATAGCAGCTCTTTGAAGTGAAAATGAAATATGCAATGAAAATCATATTATAGCTCAAATATAGCCACGCACTTATTTAATATCCATTTCAAATTCCAGGTGAAACATTTTGATCCTTTAATATTTCGTATTCATATTTTCTTACATTTACTATAAGAAAGTGATTTTTTTAAATTGATGTTTTAATAGTTTTTAACATTGTGAAATTTCGGGTTGTACATTTTTGTTTGTCCATCACCATATATATGACTTCCTTCACTCCTTGTGCCCACCCCCCACCCCCACTGCCCCTGGTAACCACAATACAGTTTTCTCTGTCCATGTGTTGGTTTATATTCCACATATGAGTGAGATCATACAGTGTTTGTCTTTCTCTTTCTGGCTTAGAAAGTGATTTTTTTTTTAAGTTACACAGTACCAGCTATACAGTCACGTGCCACATAATAATGTTTCAGTCAATGAAGGATCACATAGACAAGAGTGGTCCCATAAGATTAGTACTATATAGCCTAGGTGTGTAGTAGGCTATACCATCTAGGTTTGTGCAAGTACACTCTATGATGTTCACACAAGGACAAAATCACTTAACAATGCATTTCATAGAACTTATCCCCATCATTAAGCGAAGCATGACTGTACATATGTTCATATACTATGATCTATTCAGCCTTATATAGAGTTAATCTAGATCTAAAGAACAAAAATAGATTTTTAAAAATATTTTTTTCATCTATTTGTTCTGGAAAATGTTTCTGATAAACTATACATGTACATAGCTGCAAAAAATATAAAATACACCCATAAATGAATGACTTCTATTTGACTGCACACAGCTAAAATGAAACCAAGACCCTAGACAAGTAGTCAAAGTTTGTCATTTGGAACCCACAGCCTTCCCTGTCTGCTTCTAAGTTCACAAGATGTTGCCACCCACCCTCTGCCCCCATTTTTTCCAACCTTTTTCACATTACGGAATATATGGAAAGCAATAATACTTATACAGCACACCAGGGAAAATGGAAGAGGCTACTCATTTCTGGAGGTGACCCAGCTGCCTCAGACCCCACCTGTACTTCCAAGTGATGAAGGGATCAATACCTCAGCATAATTTATGTAACCCATTTACAACACAGGATGAGACATGCTGGTTAGTCTATTCTCTTTCTTCTCTTAACCATAAGTTATGAGAAAAAATTTCAATGAGAATATTTTTAAAAAATCATTCCCAGAAACACATAAACTTTAAGCTACTTATTTCTAATTATGAGATGAGAGACTGAGGAGAATTTTAAATGAAAAGGCATATTGGGAGAGCAGGGGAGGAGATAACAGGAGCTTCCCATTACCTTAAATTAAACTATAACCATTCCTTTACTAATCTTAGAAAAATATTCTTTAAATCTAATCGGAAGATGAACACTGATAATAAACTGTCTTTATGGGGTAATAGGAGAGAAGAAAGATGAGGGAAATTTTGTAGTTTAATTTTTACTATTCCCCTGATTTCTTAGAGAACTAAGCCAGGGTCTGCAGTTAGGCTGCCATCTGTCTTTTCCAAGGAGGTACTGAAGAGAGAAATGTTTATCAAGGAATCGCCCAATTAGTTCAGCTGCAGGCCTGAGACCAGCTAAGCTTGTCTGAGTGCAGGATCATGACCTAGCTGACACCCACATCTCTCTTCTCTTCACAGACGGTCAAGTGCTTTGCTCCATGACTCCCAAATGCCAAATATTTAGAGCTATTTACACTGTACTATCTCTAGATATTTGATATTTCAAATATTCAGATATTTGGCCCCAGTTATGGAGTTCCCAGACACCCGGTCAGTGCACTAGGAGGATATAGAGCCTCAACACTAATTCTTCAAATGTAGATATGGGTAAAGGCAACTTTAGCCATTGGGAAGTTCAATCAAAGACTTGCACTGTGTGTACACTCATGCACAAGAGAAAGAAAGAAAGAGAAAGTGAAAGAGGTAACACAAGCTGTATCTGATACAGGGGAAACCTAAAGTAGACAAAAATTATAGATTATGAAGAATTACTAAGGAAAAAGACTAAACCATTAAAACTAGTTTTACTATATACAATTAATTACAATCATAGTTAATTACCTGAAATGCTTCTAGTTATTTATATGTAGTTAAGTGAAAATATCATGGTGGCTTTGAGATTGGATGTATCTAGGTCTGAATCCCACTTCTACCAATCATTCATAAAAATAAAGATATCAACAACATTGCAAGGCTGCTCAAGAAAGAATTATGACAGCTCACAACGTGGAGTAAAAATAATACAGAGTTCAGGTATATACATGTAAATAAACATTAGTTTTTTTTTCCTTTCCTCTTAAATACTGGAGAGAGCACAATGGCTTGCTTGCAATTAAACATTCATCAGATATTTGTTGTTATTATGTATACCTGATTATCCTAGATGCTTACCAATTGAGGGAAGATATTCCTTTGAGCCAATTAGTGAGGATAATTAATAACTGAAAAAACCACTGACATGATGACTTTATATTTTCTAAATCAATGCTCCATGATAAAGGCAACATTCATTAGACTCACTTTCTTCCAGTTTTAAAGAGACTGAGGGATTGTTTCCTGTTTCATCCACATTTCCTTCACCACCTCCTCGAGATCTTGAATTCCAGACTTTAATCACTTCAACATCATTGTCACTGCCGCTTCCACTTGAGCTACTATCTTTTTTCCCCCTTTTCCCCTTTGTTTTCTTCTTTCTAAAAAAAGAACAAATTCACACTATTAGGAAAGCATAGTAAAGATACAAATGTCAATTATCAGACGACAAGCAGCAAGTAGGGATTTTAAATGTGTCAACACAAGGCACAAAAAGAATTTAATTTACTTTGTATAATCATCGGAGCTTAAACTCATGGAGGTTTCATCAGAATCTGAAGCTATAAATTCATCCATACTGTCTTCATCAAAATATCCCTAGAGAAAAAAAATGATGAATGTTTTAATAGTTTATTTCAACTTATATTAGAAATTATAATGATGTTTGCTTATTCCATTTAAGGATAAGTTAACTGTCATGAGATAAGGAAAAACTGAGGAACTATGATAGATTAGAAAAAATTAAGGAGACATGATAGATATGACTACTAAATGCAATGTGAGGTCTTGGACTGAATCATGGAAAAGAAAAAGAACATAAGTACAAAAACTAATGAAATCCAATTAAAGTCTGTGGTTTAGTTAATAGCGTTGACTCAATGTTAATTTCCTAGTTTTGATCATTTTACTATAGTTATGCAAGATGTTATGATTAACATTTAATACTCCTTCCATAATCATAATGCATTCAAACATAGAAATTAGCTAGAAATAAAATAGGTTGAATTACTGCCCCACAAAGCAAAATAAAATTCAAATATACAGTAAATTCTATACAGATCAACCTTTTTGCTAAAGTTATTTGGCTTCCAACAGATACCTTTTAGTCAATTTTAAGTAACTTGATTTACCTTATTTTCTTTGCTAATGTAGTCTAGCTGCAAACACCAAGGATGAGTCCAGATTCTACTTAACATCTGGAAATCTTGGAAAAGTTTTGCACCTGCCTTTCCTCTTCCACCTTCACTGCTATTACCCACACCTGATCAAAATAAAAAATGTTAATGTTAAGACATAAGAATTCTCTATTTCAACCAAGGTATTTCTAAATTAGGGGTTTTAACTTTATCTGTGCCATGGACTCCTTTGGCAGGGTAGAGAAGCTTACAGACTCTCTTCCTTAGAATAATGTTTTGAAATACATAAAATAAATAGGATTACAAAAGAAACCCATTATATAGAAATTATAAAAATATTAAAAAAGAAATTTGTGGTATAGTAATATATGTACTTTATTAAGGCATTAAATAAATATAGCAGCAAGTCTAACAATTAATCCAAAATTTTGAAGTATTGACAAAGGTAAATAATTTTGAGAAATCAGTAACAACAATAATATGTAGAAATATTTCTGATTTCTATCAGTAACAAAATCACAGTTATCACTACTACTACTATGGTTTTTTGCATACATTCATAGTTGGAAAAAATGCTACATTTTTGTTAGAGGTTAGTGAAAATTAATATTTAATTTTTTCTTATTCAGGTTCATATACCTCCCTAAATTCTATCCACAGACCCTAAATTACAAACTTCCATTTTAGATAAAGCCTCTCTCTGTGTACAATCCTTTAGCAACTCTTTCCAACTATTCTTACACACACAAAAAAATGTACTTCTAAAAATTATATTTTTCATGTTGAAAACATTAGATTTCTTCTGTCCAAAGTAATTTCAACAAAATTATATTTTTTCTATGAAAATGAAATGAATGCACATTTCGTTAATATGACAAAAGTATCAACGGGGTAAAACGCAAAAAATCAAAGCTAATTTTAAAAAAAACATCATTTAAGCAACAACATATTTTTCTCTTCCCAGTTTTAAAAGATGTAAATTCATCAATAATTAGTAATCCTGCCTCTATGAGTGACAAGATAAAATTTAGTAATGATATGAAACACTAATAAAAATGCATAAAGATCAGGTACTGATTATTTTGCCTTCTTAGACATAGTTCCACTGTGTATGACACCAATCATTGCTGTAAAAATGAGGTATCTAATTTCTTGATATACAACTGTTCATAGTATTCCCTTATAATTCCTTAATTTCTGTAAGGTCAGTAGTGATGCTCTTTAATTCCTGATTTTAGTTATTTGTGTCTCCTCTATTACTTTGTAAGTACAGGTAAAGAGTTATCAACTATGCTGATCTTTTCAAAGAACCAACTTTTGGCTTCAATGATTTTCTTTACTGTTTTTCTTTCCTCTTTTATATTTATTTCTGCTCTAGTCTTTATTATTTCCTTCCTTCTACGTGCTCTGGCTTTAGTTTGCTCTTAGTTTCTTAAGGTAGAAAGATAAATTTAAGATCTTTCTTTTTTAATATAGGCATTTACAGCTATATTTCTCTCTAAGCATTGCTTTACCTGCATCCCATATTCTAGTACCTTGTGTTTTTGTTCTCATTCACCTCTAAATATAATTTCTCTTGTGATTTCTTCTTTGACCCTTTGGTTATTTAGGAACGTGTTATTTACATTTGTGAATTTTCTAACTTTCCTTCAGTTATTGGTTTGTAATTTCATTCCAATGTGGCTAAAGAAAATATTTTGTGTGATTTTATCCCTTTATATTAATTGAGGCATGTTTTATGGTCTAAAATAAGGTCTATCTTGGAGAATGTTCCATGTGCACCTGAGAGTAATGTGTATTCTGCTGCTGTTGGATGGAATGTTCTATAGATGTCTATTAGGTCTAATCGGTTTATAGTATTTTTCAGGTCTTCTATTTCCTTTTTGATCTTCTGCCTAGCTGTTCTATCCATTATTGAAAGCCTTATGAGTTTTTAAAATTAATGTGAGAGAGAGATATCAAAAGAAGTAAGCTAAATTTAACTACCATTTTATTCTCCAAGAAAGACTGACTATAAAGTCAGTTTTTGTTTTGTGGGGGGAAAACTACTCTTGTACATATCATAAACATCTTCTATTATAGAAAATCTTCATAAGACTTTTAAGCCTAACTGGCTAAGGCAGAAAAAGGAAGGAAATTTTAAAAAGGAAAAACTGAAGTTTCCTCTACCTAAGCTATTGATTTGTATTAGAGTTGATATTCCTTGCGGAGAATGGGAACCCCACTGAAAAGGATATGCTAATAAGTTGGTCAAATAAAAATCCACAGAAAAATGTTCTCTACTCAAGAGTATTGACAATTATTATTGAATCACTCTATCTTTTTTTAAAAAAAATGTTTTGACTCCAAGTGGCTTTATTTGGAAAAACAAGCACCAAAAAAGGCAAGTGAATACATAATGAACTAAGCATAACAATCTGTTATTGAATTGAACCTCATTTACACCTATGGTTTCTACACAAGGTGTTATCATGGGGTCTGTGGTAAACTAAATAATGGTCCCCCCAAATATATCCACATCATCATCCCAGGCACTCATTAATGTTATTCTATATGGCAACAGGGACTTTGCAGATGCAATCAAGATAAGGACCCTAAAAGGAAGAAGACTATCCTAGATCATCCAGGTGGGTCCATGCAACCAAAATGGTCTCTATAAGAAGGAGCCAGAAGTGAGAGTCAGAGAAGGTGATGTGACGACATAAGCAGAGATTGGAGTGATGCATTTTGAAGATGGAGAATACAGGCAGCCACCAGAAGCTAAGAAGGCAAGGAAACATTTTCTCTCCCCAGAGCATCCAGAAGGAACCAGCCCTGCTAACTTTAGCCCAGTGAAACTAACATTGGACCTCCAACTCCTATAACCATAAGAGAATAAATCTGTGTAGTCATAAGCCATAAAATTTGTGGTAATTTTTTACAGCAGCAACAGGAAACCAATACAGCATCCTAGTGAAATGTTTATCAAACCTGGTGTACAACAGAATCACCTGGGAAGTTTGTGAAAGATACAGATTGCTGGATCCTATTCCTAGAAATTCTGATTCCCTAGATCTGTGATGAGGCACAGAAATCTAAACTTTCTAAGAAGCTTCTCGGATAACTGTCATGCTTCAAACCAGGGTACAAGTCAAAAAAAAGTGTTCGGGGGAAAACTAACTGCCTGAATTAGTTTCCTAGGGCTGCCATAACAAATCACCACAAACCTGAAATCTTAAGACAACAGAAAGGTACTCCTTCATAGCTTGGAAGTTCAGAAGTCTGAAATCAGTCCCACTGAGCCAAAATTAAAGTGTCCAGAGGGCTGTGTTCCCCGTGGAAGCTCCAGGAGAGAATTTGTTCCTTGCCTCTTCCAGCCTCTTGTGGCTGCTGGCATTCCCTGATTTGTGGCCACATCACTCTAATCTCTGGCTCTGTGGTCACACTGCCTCCTCTTTTATGTGTATCAAATCTCCCTCTGCCTCTCTCCTACAGAAACACCTGCAATTAGAATTAGGACTCACCTGGGCAATCCAAGACACTCTCCTCTTCTCAAGATCCTTCATTTGATAACCTCTACAAGAATCCCTTTTTCTTATAAGGTAACACAGGTTCCAGGAACTAGGACCTGACATCTCCAGGTGGCCATTATTCAGCCTACCACACTGCCCTAGTGCCCTTCGAGGCTATTTAGGAATGAAGACAGTAGCACTGAAGCAAACTTTCCAAAAATACAAGATTAAATCTTTTTATATTCAAATCCCCTTTTGACTCTTTACAAATCACAATTACACTATTAAAAAACAACCAGTCTCAAGGCCGGCCCCGTGGCATAGCGGTTAAGCGCACGCGTTCCGCTGCTGGCGGCCCAGGTTCAGATCCCGGGCGTGCACCGACGCACCGCTTGTCGGGCCATGGGGTGGTGGCGTCCCATATAAAGTGGAGGAAGGTTGGCATGGATGTTAGCCCAGGGCCAGTCTTCCTCAGCAAAAAGTGGAGGATTGGCATGGATGTTAGCTCAGGGCTGATCTTCCTCACAAAAAACAAAAAACAAAAAACAACCAGTCTCAGTAGAGTATTCTGATAATTAATGAGGCTATGATAAGCAGGGAATTGGGGGTGATCATAGTAATGTACCGTGGGCTATAGATATAATAAATTTTATACAGAGTTTTCCCAAGTCCTGAAAATTATTTCAAAGAATCTTCCATGTAAATGATTAAAAAGGATTGATCTAGAGAGCTTTACGGGTGAGTGGCCACTAAGAATTTGGAAACACCTTCTAGGATTTCCACACACAGTTTATCACAAAATCTTTACTAATGAAATAATTCCTTTGTACTATCTCAGAAATCTGATTTTCTATCCTCTAATGCTCATTAAGAGTTAACTGCTAGGAATCAAGAACACTTTTGAGCATAACAAAAATTTAGGAAAGCCTGAAAACCCAAGCAATGACACTCATACCTAGAGGTGCCAGAAGAATTCTACACATAATGAACAATAAGCCAAAAAAGAATATCTCATTAGTATTGGTTATTTCACTGCCACGATACACCAATGTTGGCCCTATAAAGCTGACTTGAAGAAAATGGCTTGGTTCTGATTTCTAAACATATGCTGTTACACCTGTTCAAGTCTAAATCTAAACCTTGTAGTCATACCACCTTCTAATTAGCCACACTATAGGAATCTCACATAAAAACTACCATCCTTGAACTGTCATGCAAAGACCACTAAAACTAGTTAACATTCTCTGGCATATACTTATTTTATTTAGGCAGAAAGCAGAAGAAACAAAAGAATAATATTTTAAGTACCACAGAGCTCCCGGTTCATATCATCAAACAGTCCGTCCTTAGCCCAAATTCCTACTACCTTAAGAGTTTTAAAAGCCTTGAGCACAGAGTGTAACATACAGGGATCCCAGACTAATAATATCCTCAGACCCCTCAGAAACAACTGCAAATCCTTTCTGAGGTAACCAATCTTTATCCTAGGCCTCAAAGAATTCCCACATATAATACTCCAAGGGATATTAGGAACTTGTGGTCAAAAGTACTTAAAAACATAGGGAAACAAGGCAGCATGCCTGAAAACCAAAAGAAATGAGAAAGTGAGAGATGAAAGAGACCTATAAGGATT